CCAGCATTTTCGAGCAGCGTGACCGCGTGGTCGTCGAGGCGGCTTGGATGTCCAATCTTAGATGCATTTGGAGCGATAGGTCAATGATTCTACAGTCGCATCACTTCATTGGCGTTGTGGACATGGAAATCCATATTCCTATTGCCGAGCGCCCTCGCCGAGAACCAAAATTGGATCTGGCAGCTCCCCCGGGTCAGGGGGGCCCAGCAGACGTGCATATCTGGATTCATCGAAGAATGGAACAACAAACATCAATGCGAATCCATCCATGCGAAACCGGGGCGATCGCGTCGCGCCCGTTGCAATCAGCCAGAGGAAATGCGCCGGCTCTCGCCGCGGCCCCGCGCCAACCGTGGATCGCGCAGCGGACGTTGCAATGCGTGGAGAAATGGAACCTTTGTAGACTGCGCAGTTGCGACAATGAAGAGGCCAGAAGACTGAGCCAGCAAATCCAATCTTCAGCGCGGGTGGGCCGAGAGAAACGGCTGGAATATTCAATCGAGCGCGATGGTTGGGAATCGATCTGGTCTGAGGAAAGGCCGGTCTACGCAGCGCGGGCGGCTTCGAAACCTCCGCGGGGGCCTCGCGCAGAAGCCGCGGCCGACTACTTGGAGAGAGAGAGAGAGAGAGAGAGAGAGAGAGAGAGAGAGAGAGCAATGGAATTTTGTTCAAGATTCCGGAGAACTTCCTAATGCGCAGCAGGATGGTGGGTTTCTGAATGTCAATGCGCATGACCTCGCAGTGGGGGAATGACGTCGCGCAGTCATTTCCTTCAAAAGGAAGAAGGCAAAGGCAATTGGCAATGGCGGCGCGCCGCCGGATGTGTGGCAATCTCTGTGGCAAAGTGATGCGGCCTTTGTGGTTCTCTTGGACCTATGCAATATGCGTTGGCAACAGACATGCACGAGGGGTGGTGGGAAGGGGGCGGAGATATCTTTAAGAGAGTCTCAGCATGGATTCCGCCGTGGGCGAGGCTCGACTGACGCCTTGTTCTTGGCGCGCCGGCTCATCGGCGCAATTTTGGGGCATAATTGGGGGGCCACTTGCTATTGCTACTCGACTGGAGAGTGTTCGACATAATAAAACCAGAAGGCTTGATGTTTGCTCTCTGCCACTTCCGCGCGCCCCTGGCCACGGTCGACGTGGCGCAGGCGATCTACAGGGCCAGGAAGTTCATTGTCAGGGATGGGAACGCAGCCGCCGCCGTTAGGGTCCAGGCTGCGGGCGTAGCGCAAGGATGCCCATCGCCACCATATTTGTTCATCGTCGCGTCGATGTCTCTGATGGCGGTGGGCAAAAAGCTGGACAGGTCTGCTTGCGACAATGGTTCAAAAAATGTATGTGGTTACAAAAGGTGCGTCATGTGCTGACGACGCGATGCTCGTGGCCAGAAGCCCGGCAGCTCTTCAACTTCATCTGGGTGCTAATATGCGAGCCGGGAAAGCATTTGGTTTCGAGCTCAACGCGTCGAAAACAATTGTTTTACGAATCGGTTCAGAAGCGCATGTTCCGGGCCCGGGTGGCAGCCCGATCGCGTGCAAGGGCCGCGCGGTGCATCCTGGATGATTGTTGTGCGCTGACGGGGGCCTAAGAGCTGAGGTAGCGCGAAGGCTTGGGGAAGCAAGAAGGGGATTCGAAAAGATTTGTACAGTGTGGAATCACGCCAAGATGACAAAACCAAGGTGTTGGACGTCTGTAAATTTTCAAAGCCTTTGCGTGGGCCAGAAAAGGTGTATGTCATGGAAAGCAGACAGGAACAGACTGGGCAGTTTTCAAGCGATGCGCCTCCGACGCATCCACGACATTCCGCCCGCGTACTTTTCGCGAATGAGCAATGCGACAGTGAGATCAACAGCAAACGACAAACCATCATCCGCACTTCGTCTGCGACGCCAACTGCAACTTTGCGATCAACTGGCAGCGGCCTGTCCGGACAGCCCACCAGGGGGCATGGCGTTCGAGACGGGTGGCAGACGACGCGCGGCCAAGAGTTTGGGCCAGTGCTCGCGCCAGGGGGCGCCCGCGCCTGCAACGGGCAAAGCGCGTGCGTGCGAGGGCTCTACGCGCAGCGGGGGGCGACCCAGATCGCTTGCAATCTCTGTTGCGGGGGGCCCAACATGAGTGGCGCAAGGCCGTAGAGGTGCACTGTCGATAGTTTCTCCCCTCTCCCCTCCTCCCCTCCCTCGTCTTGCTGATCTCTGCCTCGAGCCGCCCCCCCTTCTTCGCGCGCAGCTGCGGCTCTCCCTCGCGACGTTCCGGAAGGAAGGGTCCGGCGTGTGCCCGCCGAGGCGCTGCGTCTGCACGCGTGCCTTCCTGCATGCGTTCAGGTATGTCTCCAGCATGCTATTTTCTGCCGATGCGCCGTGGTGGCGCGGCTCTTGCTCGCCTGCCTGCCTGCCATTCCTGGGGGGCTGCGAAGTGCGAGCCTGCCGCCAGATTCGAGGGCTGCTGTGGGGTCCAGCGGCGTGTCATCCCACGCATATGCAGAGTGGATTTCGCCATCCTCGTGGGTCTGCGACCCGCGAAAGCGTCGCTGCTTTCGAGGGCTACTGGGCGGTCCGGCGGAACGGCGGCCTGCGCAGATTCAGATTCGCGACCTCGCCGTCTCTGGGTGATTGCTGACTGCGAGACGCGTGCCGCGTTCGAGGGCTGCTGGGGGTGGCTTCCAGCGGGTTTGGCTGGATGACGTCCCACGCAGATCCAGGTCAGACCTCGCCGTCCCTGGGGGGCTGCGAACCTTGCGCGAAACTGTCGTCACTTTCGAGGGCTGCTGGGGGGGGGGCATGCTACGCGTGTGGTGAAGTTAGTGTGAAAAACATGAATTGATTGGCCATGGCGAGTCGGCTATGAAGCCCACCTCGAGGACCCCATGATATGAATCTGGCCCCTCAAGGTGTTCAAGAAAAAGTTGAGGTGGGAGGCCTACAATGACCTTCTTCCCCAAACGAGCCTTTCTGATGGTCTCGAATTGGGTGCGAGGTGCCTATGACGGCCCCTCTGTGCCCGCCGCGTCCCACTCGCGGAGGCTTCGCGCCCCCGTGTGATGGTGGGGTGGGCGAGTGGTCCGCCCCCCCCGCGCTGCGCGTGTAGCGAGGGGTTCGTGGGGGTCCGGTCCGCGAGCGGCGTGGGCGATGTCCGCGGGCCACTGCCGCCGCGCCCGCCGCGCATCCTGACCTGGCGCCGACCGCGGGCCCCCCGGGCGCGGCTAACCCCGGGCGAGGTGCGTCGCCGCAGCCGCCGCCACCTCGCGGCAACGCGCCCTCGGGGAACGTCTCGCTAGGCAGCCCCGCGAAGCCCCCCCCCCAGGAGAGAAAAAAGAGAGAAAAACAACAAAAACAAAAAACACGCACCGCCGCCAGGACAGGCGCGGAGGAAAAGGGGGCGCCAACACGGGGCAATATACAACCATTTCGCTGTTTTTAATCCGCGCGCATTTTGTTCAGCTTAGGGCCCGTGATCCTCCCAGGCCTTGGCGCCAATGAATTCTCTAATCTCGCATGCTGAACGCAGTGGGGACATGTATGCGAATGCCTATGATGACCTCCTTCGCAAAGCGGGCCTCTCTGATGGTCCCGAGATGGGTGCTTGGTGCCTACGATGCCCTGTTTAGATGCCTATGATGGCGGGCACTAGACGACCAGGAGGGGACTGGGTCTCGTTTGCGGTCCATTAGGGGGGGGGGGGGGGGGGGGGGGGGGGCATGCTACGGATGTGATGAAGTCAATGACAAAAACAAGACCTGATTGGCCATGGTGAGGCGGCTATGATGCCCACCCTGAGGACTGCCATGATGCGGAACGACGTCCTGCGCAGATTTAGATTCGAGACCTCGCCGTCCTGTTGGGTCTGCGATCAACGAAAGTGTCGCCACTTTCGAGGGCTTCTGGGGGGTCCAGCGGAATGGGGTCTCACGCAGATTGAGATTCGCCTTGCTGTCTTTTCCAGCGGGCCGCCCGTAGACCTGGTGGCGCGACAGCGGGCGTTTAGCTCCCGCGCTGCAAGGTGCAGGGAAGAAGCGGAAAAGCGGCCTGGCGGTTTCTTCCACTGGCGATGAACAGCTGGAGAGCCAGAGCGACATGGCGCGGGCCGCGCTGCGTGTCCAGTTTGTCGCTGACAGATGATCCCCGCCCTCGTTGATCATCCTGCCTCTTTCATGGTCGTCCTTTTCCTCCTTCCGCCGTTTCATTCCTGCTATCACGTTAACCGTTCGTCCCCTCTTCCGTCCTCTTCCGGCCCTTCGATCCCAACCCCATTTCCTCTTCGATCTTGGGGCCTCAGTCCTCGTCCTTGTGTTGCTGTCCTGTGGGCGGGGTGACGCGCGCACTTCCCATTAAACTTGCGCAACAGATGGCAGGTCCTGTGCTGTCATCAGCCATGCTACTCTGGACCATGTCCGGGTCGGACGAAAAGGGGGTGGTCATGGAACCTGCTGCGTGCGGTGGCTTCGGCGTCGGATTAGCCCGGCGTCAGGTTAACCCCACGCGCGCCGATTCTTTCGCCAAGGCGGAGTCAGGTGACCTCCCCCCGTTTCAGGTGAACAATGGGGGGCGGGTTGTATTATTTGGATCATTCCTGGGGTTGCTAAGGGGGAAACGGGGGGTCATACGTAGATGCCAAGGTGGGTTAGATCTGGCCCGATGTAGTTGGTAAATGTGTTACTCGTGTCCTAGGGAGTTTCGGGTTGAAAGATCAAGGCTAAATGGGTTCCGCCCGCTAAGCAAAGTGGCGCGTGCGCACCTTTTTAAGCAACGTCAGGCCAGATATAAACAACCTTGGCATCCACCTGTGGCCCCCCTATCCCCGTGGCAAGTCCAGCGGTCGCCCAAGTACCCCCTCCCCCTTTTCGTCCGACCCAGGCCTGGCCCAAGGGCCCCATCATGCTCTGCAGGGCGCACCCAGTCAAGCGCGGGGGGTGGGCCTGGCTCAAGCGCGCCAGGCCCACCCCCCCGCGGCGGGCCCCTGCGGCGGAGCCGCGCCCGCCCGCTCGGCCCAGCACCATCATGGGAGGTCTGAGGCAGCTGCTGCGATGCTTGGGAGTCATCGCCGGCTGCATCTCAGCGGCCCGCGGCCAGCCGTGGGGATGGTGCAAGGCGTGCCCGCTCCAGCCCGCCGCAGGACGGCCTCCGCGCAGCCGGGAAGGCGCACTGGGGGCTCGGCGACTCCAGTGCCGCCTCGCGGCCGAGGAGAGGCGCGCGTTCTTGCGGCTCACGCACGCCCGCTTCCGGCCAGACGACTGGCCGAGGACGCAGGCGCCGGGCCGGCGGAACTTCTACCTCGAGACCTTCATCTTCGAGCACCGCGGGTTCCTCTCCGCATCGCCAGGCTTTCGGCACGGGCCAGCCGCGGCGATCTCGTGGGACGAGCGCTCCGTGCACGAGGCGCTCTACCGCGGCTGGGCAGAGAGGAGCCCGGCCGCTGTCGCCCAGCTGCCTCGGCCCCGTGCGGTTCGGAGCGCGCGCCTCTGGGCAGGCCTACGGCTCGGCGGCTGGATGCTGGTGGCTGCTCTTCTGGGGGCATGCTTGGGGCTGGCTGTCTCCGTCGAGTTCACGGCCTCGGTCGTCATGCCCCGGCTGCTTCTGGCAGGCGGGCATTTTGGTTCGATTGCATACTCAACGGACGCATGGGCCACATTCTCTCGCTTGCTGATGGCCGGCGACTCCGCACCGGCGGCGCTGGCCGCCACCTGGCGGGGCAAGGATTTCGATTCTACATTGGGATACCCAGGGGAAGGTCCCCTATTGCCAGGCACGCCACTGGGCGGTGAGCGACAGGCGCGGCAGAGGAGCCGTAGCCGGGAGCGCGGCGCGTCCTCACCCCCCATCTGGCCGTCGTGGAGCTCAAGAGGGTCCAGCTGCCGCTGCCGACAGGGCGGGCTCGGTCCCTCCGGGAGGACCTGGCCAACAGCCAGAGATGGAAGTTGACGACTTGCGCCGGGGGGTCCGCAGGTTGGACTTCGACGAGGCGATGGCGGCCGTGCCGCCACACCCGTCGCCGACGCGTTGGCATTGCCCTGTGGCCGGCTGCCCGTGCGCCGACCCAGCCAGGCACCAGGGTTGGGCCAACGCTCAAGGCCTCCATCGCCACTTGGACGCGCACCTCAGCGGGCAGCTCGCCGGCCAGGTGGATCCCGAGTGGCTTCGCCGGCACGGCCGCGCTCGATGCCGAGTCTGCGGCCTCAGCGTGGGGGCCAATCGGGGAGTGCACCCCGCGTGCCGCCCAGCGGACCGCGCAGCCCTCCGGGTGGCCGCCGCGCCGCAGCCAGTCCACGCGGCCGCCGGCAGAGGGGTTGGGGAGGGCCGCCCGTCCCTGGCGAGCGTCCACGCCGCGAGCGTGCCCACCCTCCGGTACGTCCCCAAGCGTGCCCGGGCCGCCTGGTCCCGCGCGCTCACTCGCTGCCTTGCGGGTGTGGTGGCGCGCAACTCGGTGGCTGCTTGGACGGACTTGCAGATGTTGGCCAAAACTGTCCTCAGCGTGCCCCCGCGCACTGGCCGCGACCACGAATCGGCCCTCGCGGCGTTCACGTTGGAACGACTCGCGCGCTGGGAGGCGGGCGAGCGACAGTCGCTCTGGCAGGAGGCGTGCGACGCGCAGCCTGGCCGACGTCGTCGGCCAGCCGGCCCGCCCACGGCCGAACTACGGGCAGCGCGCGCCACGGCCTACGCCGCAGAGGGCCTTCTGGCCAAAGGGTGCGCGGCCCTGACGGCCCAAGGTCTGGCCGAACAGACGAGGGAGACGGTGCTGGCCCTCGAACGACTGCACCCGAGGGCGCCTGCCGAGCCGCTCGGGCACCTGGACTCGCTCCTGGCCGCGCCAGAGCTCGCGCCCAACGCCGTGCTCAAGGCCTTGCGCGCTTTCCCAAAAGGCACCGCCCCAGGCCCTTCTGGACTTCGAGCCCAACACCTGCTGGACGCTCTCACACCCGCCACTCGTGCGACAGTTTGCGAGCAGCTCGCTGCCGTTGGACGCCTGCTGGCGAATGGAGAAGCGCCCCGGCAGCTGGCGCCGCATTTTGCTGGGGCCAGCTTGGTGGCGCTGGAAAAGGAGGACGGCGGTGTCCGGCCAATCGCAGTCGGCGAGGTGCTCCGCCGCCTCACGAGCAAGGTCCTGTGCGAACATGTGAAGAGCAGGGCCCGGCAGACGCTCTGGCCGCTGCAGACAGGCTGCTGCAGCCCGCTGGGTGCAGAGGCAACCGTGCACGCCGTGCGCCAGTGGTGTGAACGCAACAGCACTCCGGGCAACAAGGTCTTACTCAAGCTGGATTTCGCGAACGCCTTCAACACGTTGCGGCGCGGCGAGGTGCTGCGAGCCGTCGGCGACCGCTTCCCCGAGCTGGAGCGGTGGGCGCGCTGGACGTACGCGGAACACTCGCACTTGCGTTTCGGCGCGCACGCGTTGTCCTCCCAAGCTGGCATCCAGCAGGGCGGCCCATTGGGCCCCCTGTTCTTCTCTCTGGCCGTGCACCCAGTGTTGGAGGAATTGGCAAGGGACCGGGAGCTGGACCTGAAAGCTTTCTACTTGGACGACGGCTTCCTGGCAGGCACAGCAGAGGCCGTGGCGCGAGCGCTCGCTACCCTGCAAGTGCGCTGCCCAGCGCTGGGGCTTGCACTCAACTTGGGCAAGTGCGAGCTCGTGGTGCCTGGAGGGCAGAAGCCGGAGGGCCTGGATCGACTTTTCCCCGCGCCTCTGCTGACGGATCCCGACACCGGCGCCGACCGAGTTGTCCAGCGAGGCGGTTTTCGGCTCCTCGGCGCGCCGATCGGGGACCAGGTCTTCACCGAGGCCTTCACTGAGCGACGGGCTACCAAGGTGGGGCCGACCTTGGCGGCGCTGGAGACCCTGCACCCGCAGGTTGCCCTCCTTCTTCTCCGGCACTGCGCGAGCTTTGGCAAACTGGTCTACTGCGCGCGCACCGCGCCGCCGGAACTGCAGGCTGGCGCCCTCCGAAGTTTCGACGCCGCGCAGCGGGCTGCCCTGGGGGGCTGACTGGCCGCGGACCTGACAGACGCCCAGTGGCACCAGGCCTCCAGGGGTCTGGCGTACGCCGGCCTGGGCTTGCGGCGGCTGGAAGCGCACGCGGCGGGCGCCTGCCTGGCGAGCCTCGGCGCCACGCGGCGCCTGTGCTCGGAGCTGGACCCGGCGTACAGCTGGGCACCAGAGGATGCGGGCACGCGGGCTGGAGCTGCTCTCTCTGCGCACAACGCGCAGCTCCCGCAGTCCGCTGGCCTGCGCCCGGGCGCTCTCGAGACGGCCAAGCAGAAGGACCTCTCCGCCGCGCTCGACGACTACTGGCACCGACACTTTCTGGAGAACCTCGGGGCAGCCGACCGCGCGGACATCCAGTCCGAGCTGCCCCCCGGCGCGTCGGGCTTCCTGGAAGTGGCGCCCAGCGAGAAGTTGGGGCTGCTTTTCGAGCCGGAAGAGTTCCTCACCGAACTGAGGAGGCGGCTTCTGATGCCGGTCTACGACGCGGACCACTTCTGCCCCTGTTGCGACGAGCCTTGCGACCGGCACGGGCGATGCGCGGGCCTCTGCGCGGGCGCGGGGGACCGGGTTTGCCGGCACAACGCCGCGCGCAACTTGGTCGGGCGATTCGCCGCCGCTGCCGGCTGCAACCCGGAGCTGGAGAGGCCGGGGCTCCTGCCACCGCGCCCGGGCGACGACCGCGCCATCGGGCGCCGCCCCGCCGACGTGTACATCCCGAGCTGGCACCTAGGCGCGCCTGCCGCTTTCGACTTTGCGGTCTCGTCACCGCATCGGCAGGCTGCCCGGGGCATGGCTTTCCAAGGGGTTGGAAGCGCCGCCGAGGCGTACGAGGTGGTCAAGCGCACCCACCTCGACACAGAGGCTCTCTGCAGACAACAGGGCTTGCTCTTCATCCCCTTGGTCGCAGAGCCAACGGGTGGCTGGGGCCCGACGGGGGCTGCGACGCTCCGTCTCCTGGCGAGGGCCAGCGACGCGCGCCTGGGCGAGGAGCCGGGGTCCGGGGCGACGCGCCTTTTCCAGCAGCTGTCGGTGGCCATCCGGAGGGCGTCCGCCCGCGCCATCCTCCGGCGGCAGGCGGAGGAGGCCCCTGCCTCAGGAGCAGTCGCAGCGGCCAGGGACGTTCTGGCAGAGGAAGATGAGGGCTCATTGTAGGCCACTCCCCTGCCTCCTCCTTCCTCCTCCTTCTCCCTCCAGGCCTGGCTGCTCTGTGGAGCTTCTCTCCCGTCGAGAGGGAAGCCGACAATTTTCGTGATGCGCTGACGCACCGGTGTGTTTTTCGGCCCGCTTGCCCTTCTTCTTTGCCTTGGCCCCGGCCCCTGGCTCCTCCTTTTTCCCTCTCCTCTCCCCTCCCCCTCTCTCTCCCCGTGTCCTCCCTCGCCCTTGTGTTTCCTTGCCCTTGTGTGGTGTGTGCTCTCCCTTTCCCTTCCGCTTGGCTCCCCCTCCCTGTCCCCCCGTCCCCTGTCCGTCCGTCTGTCGGCCCGGTCTGTCCTTTCCTGTCGTCCTCCCTCCCTCTCCCCCTCCCCTTCTCGCTCCTCGGCTCCTCGCTCTCTTGCTCGTTTCTGCCCCTTGCCTGGCCCGCGTTTCTTTGTCGGCCTGTCCCGGTGTCCGAATAAGAGCCGCGGCGCCCCGCACTGCCACGCAGGCGAATAGCCTGGCGTGGGAAGTTTTTCCAGGTTGGCACATACAGTCCGCCGTGGCGATGTGGTCTGCGATTGTCTGGTGAGTTATGCCAGGAGCGAGGGCCGAGGCTGGTCCCCCCCCCCCCAAAAAAAAAGCTCTGCAGGGTGTGGGCCTGCAGGTTGGGCCCGTGAGCGGAGACGGTAGGAGCCGCGGCGCACAAGGAAACGGGCGGGGGTGGCAGGGGCAACGTTAGGGGGGATAGTCTCAGTGGGGGACGCACCGACTCCCAATCGCCAATACATCGCCGACGTGGGCCCGACCGTCCACCCCGCCCAGGAACACGCGGAGTCGCTATCGGGGGCATGTCGCCGATCCATCGGCGAACATCGCCGATTCCAGGTCGATGTTTCCCCCCGAGCCAGACCCCCCGTAACGTCCACCCCACGGGTGGCATCAGCGGGATGGCGTCGGCCGGGCTGAGCGTGTTTTTGGTCGGTGGTCGGGATCGAGGATTCCGCGCGCCCGTGCCAGGTCAGCACACGAAGACCACGGGCCGCCACAGGGCCATGGGCGATGGCGGCAAGAAGTGAGCCGGCAGGGTGGGCTGCGCTGGATTGGGGCTTGCGGGTGGGCGCCGTGCCAAAATCATAGTATTTTTGAGGGCGTCTGTTGCATGACCTTGCTGCTTTGTGTGCGTGAGTACCTTGCCTGGCCAGGGCTGATGAGCTGTTGCATGCTGCTTCTGCATTGTGAGGATGACGCGGACCGAAGACTGGCCGAGCTGATGGGCACTGGCAGCAAACCGCCTGCTGAAAAGCAGGATGCTCTGCCAGATCGAGACCGGAAGCGCTCGAGATCCAGGAGCGGCTCTTTGTTTTTTTTCTGCACTCGAGCCCTCTCTGCAGCTATCCTTGTGGCCGCCCTGTTGTGATACCTCACCGTCCATACCATGTCATCATGCCCATTCTTCCGATCGTTCTTTTCAGGGCGCGGATTCTGGATCTCTTGACCCTTTTCCATGATTGTGTAGTTGTGTTTCCCGTATCCTCAGATGGGGTTTTGTCATTATTCAGACCGCGCCGACTCTCCCCACCCACTACTCAACTCACCTCCCCCTCCTCCACATTCAGCCTCACACATCGCACTCAGACTCACTCACACACAAACTCACTCACTGTGACTCACTCACACTCAGACTTACTCACATTGAGATTCGCTCATACTCAGACTCACTCAGACCCAGACTCACTCAAGCTCACTCATACGCAGACTCACTCATACTCACTCGTACTCAGACCCACTCACACTCAGACTTACTCATACTTTTATTCACTCATACTCAGACTCACTCCCTCGTGAAGACCTTACGAATGGTGCCGCCGACCCTGAAGGCTGGACCTCTCCCAGGACACCCGTTGGCGCCCCCCTCCGGGATCCGCTTGGATCTTGGGGGGCGGGGGGCGGTATTCTGACTTGGCACCACACCGCCCCATTCCCACGACAGCCAGGACCTTTCCCAGGGCCCCTACTGGCGACCCGCCCAGATGTGGATGTCCCCTGTGTGCCCCTATCCACAGGGGGAACCCTGGGACCTGCCAGGACCCCCAGTGGGGGCGGTAATCTGACCCCGGACCTCTCAGCCCTACCCCCAATTGGCCCACCCCCCCGTACCACCGCCCCCCGTCAGAGACGAGGAAAAACGGGGAGGGAATCGACTTAACTGCGACGTTTCTTCTCTCTGTTCGTTCTTTCTTCTCTTGGGACTGGCGACGACGCCGAAGACGACGACGAAGACGACGACGAAGACGACGACGACAGCGTCTCAAACACGCCGAGGGGTCGGCGGATTCAGGCTCACTCATACTCAGACGCACCCACACTCGGGCTCACACACTCAGACTCTTCCACACTCAGACTGACTCACTCACACACGGACTCACTCACCCTCAGACTCACTCACATTCAGGCTCACTCACACTCAGACTCACCCACACTCGGGTACACTCCCTCCCAGACTCATTCATCTCCAAAGTGACACAAGAGCCTGTTACACAAGAGCCTGTGACTCATCTCCCTCCCAGAGCCTGTCACGCAAGAGGCCATTCATCTCCAAAGTGACCGTGGACATCGTTGTTCGACGCCCCCACAAGTCTTCGAAATCAGGAAAGATGGCCGCCAGGGTATTGTGCTCAAAGGGGCACAAACGAATCATGATGATATTACCACCTATGGCACGTATACAACGTCTAGCGCAAGGACCTGTTTGAAGATTATTGGGCACACGTGTGAGACCTCCAGAAGACAAAGCATGGCATGCATTGTTATACCGTCAAACGTTCATCGTGGGTTGAAGCGCGCATCCATCGCATCTCGTTTAATAACCGCATTCTGTTGTACCGGCTTCGTGTGGAGCGTCGGCGCTTGGTATTGCGTGCATTCGCTTTCAGTTATCGTGAAGCCAACGTGCTTCCAGCGCTCCGGCGCCACCGCCGTGCTCTCATAGGGCCGTCCTCTTGGACGATTGTCGGCGTCCTGTCCTGTCCTGTCCTGTCCTGTCCAAACTCATTCACACTCAGACTAATTCACGCTCATAGATACTCTCTTCATACTCCGATCTTCTCCTACCCAGAATTTCTTGTTGACTTACACACACACACACACGCAGATTGTGAGGATGTCCTAGGCGAGGCGCTGGTTTCAGCACTCCCAAGGGGGGGCCTGTTTGCGCTCAGATAGTGACGATGTCTCAGGCTGTTCGCTCGTGTGCATGCTCAATATCCTTTGCTTTCGCAGCAGTGTGTGAAGACGTCTCCTGCGCTAATTTCAGCACTCCCAAGGGGGGCGCCACGGGGGTATCTCACGGGTCGTTCGCGCCCAGACTGCGGGGATTTCTCAGGCGGCTTGCTTGCCTGCGTACTCAACATCCTCTGCTTTCGGATCAGTTTGTGAGGATGTCTCAGGCGAGGCGCTGGTTTCAGCACCCCCAAGGGGAGCGCCAGAGGGGGTATTGCACGCGCCCGTTCGCGCCCAGATCGTGGGGATGTCTCATGCGCTTTGCCTGGTTGCATGCTCAAGATCATCTGCTTTCGGAGCAGTTTGTGAGGATGTCTCAGGCGAGGCGCTGGTTTCAGCACTCCCGAAGGGGGTGCCAAAAGGGGTATCTCACGGGCCAGTTCGCGCCCAGATTGTGGGGATGTTTCAGGCGGTTTGCTTGTTTGCATGCGCAATATTCTTCCCTTTGATTCTACAGGCTTACGCCACATCCGCCGACCCCTTGAACCACCCCATGGTCCGCAGCCGACATATTGGACGGCGCTATCATCACGGGGAGCGCGTGGAGACACGAATGGTCGCGTGATGGACGTCGAATAGGGGCTTGGAAGGTCTTGGGCGGATCTCGGGTCGGGAGGAGGAAAGGGAGGAGGAGGAGGAGGAGGTGGTGGTGGAGGAGGAGGTGGGTTGTCTTCGGGTTCTCTTGGAGGCCTCTCGGGCCGTCTTGGGGCGGTCTTGGGGGCCTCTTGGGGCATCTTGGTTCCATCGTCGGCTACTTGAGCCCCCGCTTCCCCGTTTCGCGCCACCGCCCCATCCCTGACCTCCTATCTCTCGATTCTTTTCGAGACGCGGTCCCCGGAAGCCCCGACGACTTCCCGAGGACCGGCTTTTCGTCTCGGGTCGTTTTCTGACGGTCCCGGGGCCTTACGAGGGCCCCCGCAGGCCGAAAGTCGCCAAAAGCCTCTCGTCACGATTTTTTCGAGACGTCGGAGATCTGGGCCCTTCGCGCCACCGCCCCACCTCGTCTCTCGTGCGCTTCCGCCTCTGGTCCGAGCCCGAGCACCAGCGAGACCGCGCGCGCGGCCGCGCAACGGCGGAGCGCGTGCCGGGCGACCGCGGCCCGGGCCGGCGGCGCAGCAGAGCCCGTGGAGGAGTCGCCGACGTATCAGTGCAGCGGCGCGTGCAAGAGAAGGCTACCAAAGTCGGCGTTCCCCGACCCGCACAATGTCCCGCGAGACGCCAAAAAAGGTACCCTGAAATGCAAGACTTGCAAATGATGTCGACTCGGGCGCGCGTGCTGGTGAGAACAAGGAGGACGGGGACAGGAGAATGGGGGATGAGGCGGAGGATAAGGGGGCGGGGGGGGGGGGAGGGGGGGGGGCGAATCATCAAGGATGACGAGGTGAAGCGGACCAGGAACAAGAGGAGGGGGACGAGGAGGAGGGGGGCGAAAAGTGGGTGGAGGAGGACGAGGAGGGGGGGACATTGAGATGAGGCTCGCTATGTGTACAGCGATTTCGCGGCACGCCTTTCGGGGGCCTCTGGAAAACAGTTTTGAAGCCACCGGGGGGCCGAAGTGGACAAGGGCGGTGAGGAGGAAGAGGAGGGGGACGCGGACGAAATGAAGGATGGGGGGAAAGAATCGACGAGGATGAGGATGGGGCGAGGGAGGAAGAGGAAAAATGGGCGAGGATGATATGGAGGAGGGGGAGAGGGAGGGGGAAGAAGAGGTGGACACCCTGAAGTGCGGTTTGTGCGGTGATCGTTTGTGAAGTGCGGCTTGGAGGCAGTTTCAAAGCCTTTTGGGGGCAGTTTTGGGGCCGTTTGGGGGCCTCTTGGGGGCCTCTTGGGGCCTCTTGGTAGCGTTTTGGGGGCTTCTTGGGGCCTCTTGGGGCCTTCTGGGGCCGTCTTGGGGCGGAAGGCTCGGATTGTCGGTTCAATCTCCCCCTCTTGGGCCCCTCTTGGAGCTGTCTTGGGGCCCTCTTGGGCCGTCAATGGGGCCTCTTGGGCTGTCTTGGCGCCCTCTTGGGCCGACTTGGGCGCCTCGTGGGGGTCTCTTGGGCCGTCTTGGGGCGGTCTTGGGGTGCTCGTGGACCGTCTTCAACGCCGTGAGGGCGGACAAGTCGCATATGATCAAAATGTTCGTTTTCCCATGGGAATTTGACGATTTTCGGTTCTTCGTGGGCCGTCTTGGAGGCCTCTTGGCCTGTCTTGGGGCCATCTTGGGCGTCTTGGAGCGCTCGTTTGGCGTCTCGGGGCCCTCGTGGGCACTCTCGGAGGCCTTTTGGGGCCTTCTTGATTCGTCTTGAGCCCATTTTGAGTCCAAAACAGCCCCGTGAGTCGCTCGTCCGGGGCCCGGGGGGGGGGGTCGAATCTCCGGCTTGGGGTCCCAGGGGGGGGTTAGGGGGGGGAAACTCTCTCACACGCCTAGAGACCCACAAGGGGTCGGCGGATTTTCGGATCAGCTTGTCAGGATGTCTCAGACGAGGCGCTGGTTTCAGCATCCCCCAGAAGGGGGGGCGCTTGGGGGGTATTGCACGCGCCCGTTCGCGTCCAGATTTCGCGGGTGTCTCAGGCGTTTTGCCTGGTTGCATGCTCAAGATCCTCTGCTTTCGGATCAGATTGTGAGGATCTCTCAGGCGAGGCGCTGGCTTCAGCACCCCAAGGGGTCGCCGCCAGAGGTCCTGGGGCCCGAATCCTTAGTAATCTATACTTCGCTCCTGTGGCTCGAACCCTTTGTGTTTAGCGCGCGTTTCAATCTATTATAGTGGCCTCCGGCCAGTGCCGCCGATCCGGGGCGCTCTTAATCCTCCTACTCCTCCTCTTCTTGCTTCTCCTCCTCCTCCTCCCGCATCCTCTTCCTTCTCCTCCTCCTTCTCGTGCGTTTTCCGCTCCTCCTTTCCCGCCTCGGTGTCCTCCTATTCCTCCCGCATCTCCTCTTCTTCCTCTTGCTCTACGTTTTGTTCTCCCAAATTCGTTTTTTGCTGTCAAAAAAAACGTGTTTCCTCTCCTGATCCTTTTTCTTCTCCTCCGAGAGCGTCTCGTCGTTCCTCGCCGTTTCCCTTTCGACATTGTTCTTGGGACCAGTTTTTCCCTCTGTGTGGTTTTTATGGCGGGAGGGGGGAAAGAGTGAAGGATTGGTCCTTATGTTTTTTCGAGACGTGAAGATTTGTTTGCTTCCCGTTTCATCCTCAGGTCTGCCCTCGCTTTCTCCCTCATCTACAGGCTACCAGTTTGCTTTCCCCCCTGGCAGTTCGCCATTTTTATTACAGA